TTCCCTTACTTTCTGTTTCGCCAGCTCGATATTTCGACGGGCATTCGCCACAATGTCATCATTATCAATGCCACCATCATACTGTTCGTTTGGCTCAAATGCTGGCTCAAAACCCTCATCATAAGCAGCCTCAACAGCGGCATCAAGAGCAGCATCAAATTCAGCCTCTGTGCCGTGACTGAAGTGGCGGCTCCCCCCCTGTCGTAAATACACAGATGAAAGTTTAGAGCGCGTGGAAGTCGGTGAAGACGCGCCAGACTCATCGATTGTATCAAGCCAAGATGTCGACTCGTACGCATCTTTCGCATGGGTACTCAGTAAAGCCCAGTCATTATATCGAAGGTGATGCGCCGAATCATCATCTAGGCTTAGTGTCCTAGAGGCCTGCCCAGACCCAGACTGCATCGCCGTTTCTAGATGTTCACCCCTGCTTGATCTAAAGGATTCAGTCTGAGACAAATCGTTCTGTATAGTGGCCGGTGGTGATAGGGTCAGGCAATGTAGATCATCATCTATTGCAGAAGGCAATAACGACTGGCACCTCGCTGGGACTCCGTTAGAGGCTAATACCCTTGCTTCGTCTAGCACTGGCTGATGATCGTCAGAGCTGCGCTGCAAAGAATTTCCGCTTTCGTTATGCGATTCCTCATTCTCATCCTCTTCGATGGACTGGAACATTTCACTGTAAGACTCCTGGCTGAGGGGTCGCTCTGGAAGAGCTTTGCTGTTGGGTTCTGTAAATGAGAAATCCATCCGCTGCAATTCCGTTACACGAATCATGTATGTGTCACGCTATGAAATTTAGTCCCTGTGTATAAAGAGTGGAAAGGCCAAAAAGGGAGACGAAAGAAAGAAAGGAGGGAAAGACATCGCTGAAGCAAGACTCACAATTTCCTGAAGTTTTGACTTTTCGTCCTCACCTCCGCTGCTTCTAAGCATAACATGTTGCAGTAGCTGACAGGCATCATTGTAGGCTTCCATTGCGCCTTCGAAATTTGCCGCGTTGTCAAGAAGCACAGCAGTGTTGGCTTTCTGTAAAGCTTTAGACAGCATTGCCTTTTGGGAATGGCCTCGTCGCCGCTTCCCATGAGTATGTTCGCTACCAGTAAACATTTGGGAACTCCGGTTGGCTGCTTGTGCATCAGTACCAGATCTCGACCATGGATTTTGAAAAAGGCTAGTAGCAATCGACGTGGAGCCGTGATCCTGATGCGATGGAGCAGAATCTATAGCATCTGTCGAGAAGGCCGATATATCACTGTGATCTCCAAGTTCGAGGACTTGCATGTAGTGGCCCGCGCCGATCGAGTGCGGAGACTGGGGCCCTTGCAATGGACTTTCATCGTTCGTAGGTGCGGCAACACGAGGAGGTAGGTGTGGGATAGTGCTCCTCTCCGCACTTGCGCCGCCTTTGGGAGAGGTGTAATCATCGTAGGCAGATGTTTTAGGAGGGATCGTTCGATGGTAGCTATCATACATAGGCGAGCCCTTGCTAGATGACGTTGACTGAGACCAGCGATTCAAACTGCCAAGGCCTTCTTGGATATGGTCACCTGGGCTAGTTGAAGGGGAGCCCGGAACCAGCTCTGAGACAAGCTCGGGCCTTGTCGGTGTTGCCGCTCCAAGTCTAGAAGTAAGGTCGGTGGTATCAGGGCCTTTGGTTTTAAACCTATTCCAAGAATTGGCTCGGGATAAACGTGGAGCTGCTGTGTCTGCGGTGAACGTGTATCCTGGCGACATGGGTCTAGACTGACGTCCATGTCCTTCCGAAGCCGAATTATGGGCCATGCTTACAAGGACCAGGCGGCCAATGCCGTGTCAACAATACGACAGCAGAAACGGTCAGATTCCACAGAGGAAAGTGGGATGATATATGAACTGATAGAGGTTGAGTGAGGGGGTGTCTTGTAAAATAACACGGCGTGCGGTGTATTGCGTTTTCGATTCGCCGTCGTGGGTTTCGCTCTTGGTTGTTATTTTATGATAGCCACTTTGAGATGGATAGGTCTATGATAATGATCAAAGCGAAACGGACGGATCTTCCTGGATCCAAGAGGTCTGCAGTTTATAGAATTGGAGTGCGCCGCGGATATGGGGGACGTTGCAAATATGTGTATGTGTGGCTGGCGTATTGCTCATCCTCTTCGAACTCTAGAAGCTGATATATGAGGGCGACTCGGTAGCCTTGAAAAAATCCGCATGTAATAAGTGTATACCGACTCCTCTAGCTCCCCTATTAGTATATACTTGCTTCAACGCATGGCCGGTTACTCTGGCGCAATTGTTTCGTAAAGGGCATAATTATCTCCTAAATCGTCATTGGTCGCTATACATCGTAATCGAAGTTCCGCTGCGCAATCTTTTTCAAGAAAACCAAGACTGATCACTATTTCAGATAAACAGCTATGAGGGCTCCGGGAGCTGCCCCGTCGAATTGCCGTCAATGTGGCTTTCCCGTGTAGATGGAAGCGAGGATGTGGTAACTTGAGTCAATCGCTAAGAGTTTATTAGTGGAGCGGACCTTGAGAATCCAACTACTGGGAAACGGTAAGTTAAACAAATAATGGTTATGAGAGGACTAATGACAGTATCTCATTGGCATCTTTACATTGAGGAGTGGTCCGTGGGCAGGGTAACACGTACCGATCTGAAGTAATATTCTTCTTTCTGACGAAACGGGGACGGAGGAACTAATGTGGGGTTAAATTGATTTGGACTCCTTTTGTCAATGAAGCTGAATGTAACCAGTTGATGGTATAGCAGCACCATAGATCCGATAACAAAATTTCGAGGAGAGAAAATTAGCCGGCAGAGATGAGGTGCAAATAACGTGAAATATTTGAGATTTGTAGATGAGAAGCCTCGAGAGAGAAAAGGGGATTGATCCCGGTGTGATTTTCTTTTCTAGAGTGGGAAAAAGGGGCCGCTAGGTACAGTACTATATGTACATACCTTTTAACTTCCCGAATGTTTAGAAAGGTAATACTACTATCATTATGTTCCATGTGGGTCCTATTAATTAGGTACCTAAGATAGATAGATACCTTTCCCGGGCCCCCTCCAAAAAACATCCCAGAAATAGTTATGGCTTTCTGGAACAGAACGCTCTCTACGGAATAACCAGACCGGCCAATGTGCTCTGGAAATGGTAGGTATATGAGAACACCTGTACGGAGTAGGGAGATAGCCAACCAACTTCAAAAAAGAACCATGTAGTCCAATGGGATGGACGCCAGTCATCTAAAATGGGGATTGTTGGCCCTGGGTTGCACCAAGTACACTGTAATCACCTTGATAAACTACTCGTACATTTCAGTTTCACATAGTGCTCTGATACTGTTGAGATACCATTTCTTTTTATCCTTTGCTGTACTTCTTTCTTGTTCTTCGATTTGGCATGTAATAAATTGTACTGTTATCTACCTTTACTCACACATCACTAATAGCATTATAAAAGTATTATACTAATAACACCTTCATACGTTGCTAAAATAGGTACAGGCTCTTCCAAATTCTGGGTTTTATGCAAGCCGTGTGACACAGTTGCACTATTGTCTATGTAAAATGAGACCTCTGCATTGATACATAGAGGTGGAGAGTATGGAGTCGCAGTGTCTTGTGTATAAATGTATATACAAGAAATAATTTGTTGTCTGTCCTCTTCCTTTCAAGTCCCGTGCTTCTTTCTTTCCCATAATACCAGTCCGACGTACTGTAGCGAAAAGAGGTTTATACGAAAACATGGCAATAAGGTATATGTATAGTACTGTATATACCAGGGTCGATACAAAGTATTCTGTACGTAAAACGGATGAACACTGGTATGGATATTCGCGTAGCCATACCCTAGAAGGAAGATAGTACATATTACCTACCCAGTACCAAGCATACTCAATCCTGTGCGATCATTGATGCTATCTTTATGGTCGACGGTAGTAATTACACTTGACTAATATGGTTTACTTAACTAACTATGGCTTAGGACCATCCCCAGATATGTGAGGGGCATTAGAGAAATGTACCGATATTGATATAAGAGCTAGTAGATTCCTCGCCCTACGTTACACAGCAAAATGTCTCTTTAGTAGTCTGCGGATTCCATGAGTTCTGATGAGCTCCGGACGATATGAGAGTTGCAGGAGTCCATTTGCCCTACTAATACCATCAGAATGTGTTTCAAGAGTAACCAATATTGCCATTTCGGCATGGTCTATAAGCTGCCGTCTCCTTCAGCAGATCGGTACTTGTAGTGTAGCACCACCTTCACAGCCAGGGTGCACTATTCAAAGGACGTTCGTAGCATCTCCTCAAGCTCACAGATGGCAATATTTCTAGAAGTGGATTGATAGATACTTAGAGAATCAGAAATATATACTAAAACACAATTGCGGTAACAAATGGCCTGCTGGAACGACAAGACAACTACTAGCTCCTACAGCGACCAAGGGCTATCAAGATTGCCCAAATCGGAGTCCTGGCCCTAGGCTATTGAGCGACTCGGGATTCCGAAGGTCTGAAGTAAGCTAGAAAGCTATTCCGGGGAATTTCTCTATGGATGCATGGCCACATTCTATGAAGCTCTCGCTAGCAAAATAGCACCCAAGCCGGCTGTGGACGTATCAGTTTCCACCACGAGCCTGTGTATATGACCTACCACAAGTAGCATCATGATGTACCGGTACATGTTTGACTCTCAATACCCAAAGCTTATACTATGTTGAATTTATCCATATCTGCCTTGCTCGTAGCATTCTATGCCTTCAAATTGTCCGGGTTATGCGCAAGGCAACTCGTTGTATTGTAGTTATAATTTAGACCTGGGTCATGTTATTTATGATTTATGATAATTTTACAAATAGTTATCTCCCGTTAAACTCCCACAAACTCGCTCCCAGTCTATGACACCACACATCTTGCAACGGTGTTTATATTTAACAAATGGAGACTGAAGAATCACATTCCATCTAGATTCATGACAATGCCAGTCGGTATGTACGAGTCCCAAGTATCTAACTAGACCAGACAGTAGGTTTCCATTTGAGGACTTGTAAGAAAATCTATACACGATAAAGACGGGGCGCACATAAATCTGACATAGCGGCTTAATCATGGCATACTATTGGCGTAAGAAACAAGCGTGTTAAAAAGTTGCAATGTATCAAGGCTATTCGCATGACATTAACGCAGAGTAAAGGTTGGAGGTCACCTAGCAGACCATATCCTGGATTTATAGGACTGGTGCGCCTGAATTACAGTGACTAGGCTATTTTGTAAACAATATTTCTACTTCGCCTTTCACTTCCTGGAAAACTACTCCTCACTCTCCTCCTCACTTGTCGCTTCAATGTTTTTTCGTGGCAGTTGCGAGGCTCCAAGCCCATTACCACCACTATCAGAAGCTTCATTGTGATCTTCATTTGGGATACTATGTCCGCCAGCATAATCTGGTCGTGGAATAGACACTCCAAGATCCTTCAGTGTAAGCTCAATATCAGGCAGTAAGGTGAGAAGGGAGGCAAATTGGTCGATTTGTAACGAAATGCCCTATATGAATAATTAGCAGGATACAATAAAAGTATGAGGAAGATGGCTACAGAGGGACCAACTTTCTTGCCGGGAAGCTCTTGGCCATCTTTCTCGTAGTATTCCCTAATATTAACCAGAGTCTTTCCTCGAAATGAGGAAATGGTGACTCGGCGCATCTTTGATATTTCCCAGTATCGATCCCCATTTGCATCAATATTTCCAGTAACGCACGTATGACGTTTGTCAGAGTCGCAAGCAGCGGCGCTCCTGCTTGAAGTAAACTTGGTTCTTTTTAACTGGGGATGTTCATCGTTTACAATTTCACCAGGACCTGACGCGCGCTTTCTAAATCCGGAAGCCATGGCATGTGCTGTTTTTCAAAAGCAATTGAGATGCGTAGAGTAGGCGGAAGAGTCTGTGTTGATCTTTGGTAAAGTAGTGTCTGTCAGTAAAGTTGATATAAAGACAGTACTACAAGATACAAGACAGAGCCCTTATCTTGTGTTATCATCACGTGATCTACTGCTATAAGCTTGCTAGAAATGGTCCTTCTAGCTGCTACTATTGCCACAAAAGTCAGAAAAGATCATTATGACTGCTTTCTAAACAGACTAGGACATATAGGGGCTATAGGACCACAAGTTAACTTGTACCTAAACAGCACTCATTCCAGGCCGTGGTAGTAAGGGCACATTAAAAAATCAGGGACCTCAATGCCTGTATGAGAACAGAAAATACAAGCCCTCGCGCAATGATTGGGACCTGGAGACTATCGAATACCTTCTCAAGAGCTTCGCGACTGGCAGCTGCTCCCATTACACCTGTCAAGGCCTGTGGCAGCCCTTTCTGCACGAAAGCTTTTCGTGCAGTATCCCTTAGACGCTCTTTTTCGGCATCGTTAGGTGCTGAAGGCCAAGACTTCAATTCAGCTTCTGTTGGGAGGACGTTCTCACGAAGTTTGGTGATATACAAACCAAGTGCTTCATCAGATGTGTTGGACTCAATCATGGATTCTTGCAACAAGCTGCGAATCGTCTCTATATTTGGATTTCCAGGGCGTAATATGTATGACTTCGCCGCATTTAACAGAGTCCGGCGTATATTCCAGGCAGATGACAGTGTATATAATTCATTTATCACTGCAAAAATAAGTTCCACAGCTATCCGGGTTTCTTCTTGGGTGATAGGGCTGCCTCGGCCGTCTGAAATATCTTGTGCAGTAGTATTCGCCCACTCCTCTATTTGGGTATGGGTATGTTCCTCCCTAGGCCTACCCGCAGAGTGTCCTAACGAACCACGATGTTTGCAATCCAAGCTAGAAGAAGCAGTAACTCGCTCCGTTTCTGCGGCTGGAACCTGGCTTGAGCTCTCTGCATTTTCTGCCAGGTTGCCAAGAGGTATGTCCTGACAGGGTTTGGCTCCCTTCATGGCCGTGGTAGCAGGCGCAGCTTCAAACAGTGGCGAACTATGCCTCTGATACCTGGAAGATAGCTGAGTATCGTCCGTTCCCTTATCTGGCTCCAGTGAATGTCGTCTCCGATTTCCAGCGTCTTCAGACCTGCGCGGAAGGATTTCATTTTGCGTAGGGATATTAGTATTATGATTATGACTATTCGTAACCATATCTGATGAAGTCTTCTTAACAGACATCACGCCGAACACTCCGGTCATGCCGCCAAAAACAGCCTTGCTGCCATCGGAAACGCCTTTGGGTGCATTTGCTAAGACGCCTAGAAACCCCTTTCCGACATTTTCGAGGGAAACCTGACTCGGGAAAGAGAACCCAGCCTTTAGGGATGTGCCCGCAGATGCAGGACCAAGCCTTCCACCCTTCTCAAGGAACCGCTTCATCCTTTCACTCTCTGCGAGTAATTCATATTGAAGGGCATCTTGGAGGTATCGCTCCAGACTCCACGCCAATGCTTGTTTTGTCTGTCCTTTCCAAGCAGGCAGGATAGGGTGATCGTCTGTAAACTTTTGAACTCCGTTCAATCTCGAAATCGTTTCTAATGTCTCATGGAGTGACTCGAAGTCTGTGTAGTTCCTGAAAACCATCCATCCTGTGCAGCACGCAGACGCCGGCTCAATTTGGACTAAGTAATTTGATGTAGGTTTTGATCGTAGCAATGTCTTCCCCCCCAGATCTACGCCATCATCTACCGTTATGGAAGCTCGATGGAGAGTCAAGGTGGCATTTATGTCGTTCTCCGATGCTTGATTCAACGACAAGGAACTTGCTGAATGTAGCGAAGACGGTGAGGGTCGCCTTGCAGGATTTAGTTCGAAAGCCCTTTCAGATGCAGGCTCATGGATCTTCTGAGTCTGCTTGACGTTCACATTCTCAACCACTGATTGCGTTCTAGTATCATGCTCAACACATTCCTTCCCATGACAGGGCTGTGAAGTGGGATCTTCTCCGCTTGAAAATGGGATTTGAAAATCATTGTATACCAACTGCTCAGCATTTTGATGGTGCAAGTCTTGTGCTGCGATCATGGCACTTAGTCGCTTGGCTTCCACCATGGCTTCTTCAGTTGCTTTATCTATGTGAACAGCCTCTGAACCTATTTCCTTTTCATTCAGAGTTGAAAGAGGCATATTCTCTTGTTTGAAATCCTTGGCTGCGGTTACACCATGAGTTCGCGCCCCTTCAACACCGGCATCGATTGCACTCATGATGTCAGAATCGCCTTCACTAAGAAGATGAATGATCCATCCATTGATGAACTCTGGACGTGATAGACTCGAGATGATGGATTCAAGGACAACACCCGCTAATATTTCGCGAAGGAAATCCCTTAGAGGAGGCAGTGCATACGCTTTCGGATCCAAAAAGCTGGCCAATATATCGTCCGCTATCAAATTGAGTTTCTTATGTTGTTGTTGGCCTGCTAAGACATTTGCCAAACTGCTCTCCGGGGAATATTCTAGGTAACGCTGAATAATCTGTTCCGGAGTCATGGTAGGCCCAATAGTCTCAATCGCTGTAGACAACTCATTCAGGAATACGATTAACATGGAGGATGAATTTGTGAGAAATTCCAAAAAAGTGTCTGCTGGCCGTTTACGTGAAAGGTGTGTTGACACAGAGGTGACAAAACTGATCAATGTCCTCCGACAGGAGAGAGGAAACGTCATCTCGGATGGCAAGATCGTTTCATACCAACAACTTTCTCTTTGGTAAGCTCTTGTCTTATTTAGAAATGTGAGACCTTACTTGACATAGTCCCTGATCACCGCATCGGTCAGTGATTCCAACGCGGCAGCTGTCTTCGGACGGAAAGAAGTGTAGCCCGGTTCTATTTCAACCACATCATTTGAAAGGTTCTGGAGGTTATCGTTTGATTTAATTCTTGTGGTATTGCGTTTGGACCAATCCAGTAACCTATGAGCTATATCCAATCCCATTTCTCTTCTCTTAAGAAGTCGGCAATCCAGTTCATTTTTAGAGGAATGAGTGCTCGCCCCCTCCCATGACGCATGTAGGACGATGCCACTGGTTACCCCGATCAAGAGCAGACCAAGTCTTCCCAGGAGAATATATGTTGTGCCCACCAAGCCAGCAAAGACGCCGAGCAGAACTTCATTGCTAGCAGTAGAAAGGAAACCAATGACAAAATCAACAAGCTCTTTTGACTGCGCTATATTGGTCCCATGGTTGTTGAAGTCGGCTTGTTCTGCAACACTTGCTTGGTCGGGGAGGTTAGTTTCATTTGGCTGGGAAGGAGCATCGCCGGGAGTGTCCATGGTTATTGACCCCATGAAATGACAGTTTGCCACAGGTGGTAAGCAGGTCTAGAAGGAATTAAGAATTGTCACCTGTTCATTAATAATTGCCAGGACCAGGCACGGGTGTGTTTGTTCCTAGGCACTGCTCCTATGGTAAGTTCATGGTACAGAACGGAGTAGATAGTAGTGGGCAAGCTAACTACTTAGTACTGTGTAGACCCAGTCAGACTAATTAGATACCCGACGGGAATGTACCGATATGAACCATGCGGCCCACCCTATTCTTGACTTAACCATACCAGAGGCAAAGTTATGTGCATACGTATGTAGGTACGAGTCCAAGAAAATTATATGCTTTCAGGTACAGATATAGAGGTGTATCTCTAAATAGGGATGGTAGTTTATGCTGTTGATAACACTGTATTCCAGATACATCACAGCAACTCCCGTGGTTAAAAAAGCACCAATCCAACACGAGAAGTAGCTGTTAGAAGTTATTGAAATGTCTCTATTTGTTATTGCCTTGCTTTACTGCCGAAAAAACACGGTATCTAAGAGTGGAATTATTCTCTGTCATCCGAGTGAATCCAAGAATTCAAAGTACACATGTTTCATGCCAGATGTAGAGATAATGGCGGTACTATTAATATCAATCAAGGACATATGGAGTTTTTGTTTCCCTATTTTCTTTCTTTGAGGCTACCTGGCCCTTGTGGATCTTCAAGCCTGCGATGTTTGTATGACCCGGCGCATCCCCACAACGGGGAGTTCATCGTGTTTTAATATATTTTGTATGGGTTCCATGTGCAACAATTGTTGTCTGCCCAGTCTCGGCCCTTTTAGAAATAGTAATTGATGTGAAAGCGAGTGACTTCCCCACTTTATTAGCCCGACCCTCAATCTCCAGCCAGTCCCCAGTGGTCGCCGTAGAAAGGTAATTGACATGAATATCTGTGCTCACTCCCGTAGAGTCGAGGCCACAGGAAGCGATTGCCAATCCGCCTGCCCAGTCAGTGACACAGGCCGAGAAAACACCATGCAAAGTACCCTTTGAATTAAGGTGGTGAGAAGCAACTTGAATCCGGGAGTGAAACACGCCTTTTTCGGCGTCGTAGATTTCGATATCATTAAGAAGAAACGCATATATGGGACTAGCGGCTCGGATACGCTCCCAGGATTTCCGCACTTGTTGTAGCTCTGAGTCCATGTTATATTGTTGTGTGTTGTTTGGGACTTCCATGCATCCGAGGAGAAACTGAGAGGGAAAAAAAAAGGTACTCTGCGGGAAGGAAGAGGACAAATTTGTTTTTTTGTCGGTGCGGGCCCTCACGATTACTACTAGTAGTATGTAGTATACTAAAGGACACTAGTGTCGGCTGTCTTCATGTACTGCACAATACAGAAGAAACTGGCCGAAATCTATACCGAGTACTCCGTACAGTCATATCAATACCAGGTAGGCATCAGGGCCTATTACTTTCTGAAACAATTTATTATGCCCATGGTAATCCACACTGATAGCTATAGTAGAGTTCGCTTGTCAGTAGGTATCCTATGCAACAGGTACCTCAGTAGAGCAGACTACTCGAAAGTTCAAGCTTGCGGAAACAGTGCAGCTTTCATCGAATAAATAATTACATACTTCGGTTTATAATGACATACAGGTAAAAGCATTTGACAACAGTCACGAACTACTAGTCTGTGAACATCTACATAGATCATAGATTGTATTGTCCCGGTTCTTTTTCCTCAAAGGCACCCATGGAACCTGAAGGCCGTCTCAATTAGGCTTCCCGTGGAGGAGTTCTCCTAGACAGCATCTGTGAAAGCATGAAGTGGTTAACGTCCTCATCAGCCCAGTACGTCAAATGGCTGGCGATGCTGGCAATCATAGATATATCAAAAGCACCTCTAATTTTTTGGAGTTAGCGCTCTCATTATGTTAAAGGTCTGACAGGTACCGCAAGGAGTCTTACTCTTGTATGCTATAGTCAACTCGCCCATTCGAATTCAGGGACCTCACTTTTGCATCCTCGGTCCTTAATCTCTTCATACGAATTTCGTTCCCCTGATGCTCAGTAGCGTCATCGCTTGCAGGAGCTGGTGCATTCTTTCCAGGTGCATCCTTGATTTTTTGGAAGCCCTCGTAAAGCGTCTCCAAGTCCGAGTCTATAAGAGTAGGATGCCGATCAAGTCTATCTGCGAGATCAGCATCTGTGTTGAACGATGGCGGCGATTGGATGGCAGAGTTTGGTTGAGGAATATCCTCAGCGCTAAGGCCAAGACTGCGATTAAGCAAGCTACTCGCGACGCCTGTCGTGAAATTGGTCCACAGAGACCCCACACTTTGGCCTACACGGCTTCCAATTATTGAAAGGCTTTGTCCAGAGGCTGCCCAAAGGCTCTTCTTTACTGACGGTAAAGGCTGTGGCCGGAGCGACGACATTGCTGGTGATATAAGTGGCTCTATGCGATAGCTGATGGGATCAGAAGGATGGAATATATTGTAAAGCTGCTCGCATTTCGGAGAAGAAACATGGAAATGCTTATCATCGGGCCCCATTCCTGTGTTAGCCTGACTAGGTGATGGTTCAACAGTTGTGTCTTTTCCATCCACATAGAAAGTGTTTTTAGTTGCTTTACTTCCCGACATGGATCGACCAGCAATAGTTTTCCCTTTCAGCATCTGAAAAAGTGCGATTGGAGAGCCCAAGCAAAACAGTTCCTTGCACTCGAACTCTAGTTGCCCGTCTTGCCAGGCTGCTGGCGGATTACCTTGCTGTCCCACAGCAGCAGATGATCCCTGCGAGCCAGCTGTGGATTTTTCACGGCACAGGATATCAAAGAGAATGGCACTCCCGAGTGAATGCCCACAGAGACTCACTGATCCCCTAAAAGAGGGGTTCCTCCTTTTGAATATTTTGAGAATCCGGTTGCATTCCTGCTTAACTATGGTCGATATGTGCTCGCAGTATGCACTCTGGTATAAAAGCACATCCATTGCCAAATCAGATATTAAATTTCGAACCGCGGGTACGCTATCGAGTGTAATATCAGCCAAGCCGGGATAGGGGTCATCTTCGAAAACGTCTGCGTCTGCAAGATCAAGCTCTTTGCGATTTTGGCTCACCCCTCGGTAGGGAAAATCAAGGAGGTGCCTCCAGCATCTGGCCAATATTAGCGAAGGCTTAACAGCGTGGCTCATTTTCTCGGGCCTTCTTCCCCATCTCCCTCGAAAGGAGCCCACTAGAGGGCCGGGGGATCAGTGCACCAACTTGACAGATTGAATCTATATGGAATCACTTACACTGGGAGTACTTGAACACGACAATTCTCGTGCTTATCCCCAAAGGCGGAGTTGAGGGCCTGAAGATCAGGAGACACTTTGTACACATTTTTCATGGTCTTCCGTAGGACATTCACATCATGGATAAAGTTGATACTCTCTAGCCGTAGCCCAAGTCGCTGCCCAATCCCGTGAGTAACAAGAACTAGATGATCAATTTCTCGGTCTCTATCATTACCATCAGCCTGTCTCGAATCCTCCATTTCCTTCTCTTCTTGTCTACGAGCTTGTTCTTCGATCTCAGCCGCATTCTGCGGTTCGCTAGCAAGAGATGACATCTGCCGTTCGAGAGTTGATCTCTTGTTTATCCCAGGGGTGGTGCTGTTCTCAAAATGGGAGTCCGTTACTTCAGACTTCATGCCTTCTAGTCCACAGTGATCCTGATTATCTGAGCGGCGTGCTTCAGAAGTAGAGACCGAGCCCTGGTTTGATTTTCGATTGGGGTTTCTCGAATCAGGCGCTTCCTTCTGTCTTTTTGTCTCAGAGAAGCCGCGCACTAATCGTGTACCTGGTACCCCACCCAGCTTCTGGTATACCGTGGTGCTCACACGGGACATGAAGTCATCATTTGTCAGTAATGCTGAAGAGGAATCCTGATATGTCACTAAGCTATTCATGTAGGCGCCAAACAAACGATAAGTGTGGAGTCCATTTGCGGGTACGTGGGTCATATGCCCAGCATTTTCAGCACGATCGCGCAAAGTGCTAGGCTCTAAGAGCAGCGTGAGTTTATGCCTTTGTGCTTTTGGAAAAGGGATCATGACTGCACAGGCCTTAGGAGGACCCTAAGGGTCAAGATGACGAACCTTCGACTTCTTTAAAACGCCACGGTTTAATTTTAAGATAGCCCTCCTCAAGTTGAGTGGCGAGGTTCTCTTCACATGGCTTGATCGTGGAGCCGTCCTGGATAAACCATGTTCCACGACGAACTTCGTATATGGGGCCTATCCAATATGCCGGACTGAGCTCCCTTCGCTCTACATCCACATCGAAAAGATAGTCCTCATTGACAGGTACCTTTGTGATATCCTGGGCCGTGTCAGTGGCCTCGTCAGGTCGATTTCCACCCTTTCCACCCTCGACATCAGCTATATCTTGAAATGCAATTTCAATGGCCTGGGAATCCTTGACTGAAAACGGGACGAATTTCTTGGGGGGCGGAAGAGGTTTTGAGGTATCCCTCTTTTGCTCTGTGAGCGCCGGTTTCCATTTTGGGGAGTCCACAGCATAGAACCACCTTACCCGCAACGAAGGGCAGTCTTTGGGATAACGCTGTGGATTAAGGCGATGTCTGTGAGTGACTGTATGGTCTTGGCCTTGAGAGCGTTGCAAGATGTCTGGTTTGTCATTGCAGCCACCGACGGGTTGAGGGGTCGTACTCCTCGAGACATTCCAAGGAGAGATCGCCCCCAGGAATGTCCCTCTCTGATTCTCCTTTGACATTGAGCTCTGAAGAGCTCGAAGAGTTGAAGTGCGAGCCAATTCGACGAACTACTGCTTGTTGCCAAATGAGAACGAGGTCAAGAATGAACGATTGACCGGCAAGGGAACTCAGGGAGGTTGAATTTGAAGTAAAATTAATAAGTCTAAGCGTGGTCAATAAAAATGTATCCAGGAATTAACACTCTGAACTGATCCGGGATCAGAACTTGCAAATCTGATGCCTCTTTTAGTTTTTCTTTTCTTTTTTTCTTCCCCCTCCTTCATTTGAAGGACAAAATTTGAGTTCTGCAGTAGTACTGTGTATATGAGTAATATATCAGTGCGTAACTAGACTCAGAATTCTAGCGCTAAGAAAACTAGAGAATAATTGAAGAAGGAAAAAAGAACAAAAAGAGGAATAGTTGTGGGGCACTGAGTAACTGATAGAATCTGACGTTAATCAAAGTTTTGACATGCTCACTTTTGAGGCAACGTGTCGTGACCAGATTAAACCCCAAAGAACGGGGAAGGAAACAGAGGATATATACCAGTTAGTACTGGTAGTATATATGTACATAAAGTACATTTGTGTAGTACCTCACTCCCTCTGAGAATAGTAAGGTAATGATAGTGTACATATAACATGTAGTAGGTAGGTGAGGCACAACATACAGAGATTTATGGATTAGAACTTGTAAGAAGATCCCAACGGCACAAATAATTTGGGTCGACATCATCATGCGTCATCACCAATATCAAAGACTACTAGTAGTATAAACCACTTATTCAATAGTCTAAGTTAACGAAAGAGGTGAATTTCACAATTCCAATAAAGTAGAATAATTCAAACAATACAAATAAACTAAATCTCATAGTTTTCCTGAGTAGCTTTCATAACTATTATACTGAAGAAATCTGTCAGTTCAGCTGGTCCCCGCGTCGTCACCACCCTCCTAGTGCCCAAAAACCCCACTCCGCTTTCCATCAAATCCCACTCCGTCATCCAGGGGAAACCAACGCAAACCATCTCAAGTGCAGGCCTAGGCTACCGAATTACGGACAGTGCTTACTTTCGGTTTGCTTTGCCATCATTCTTCAATTGACAATCTTCTCCTGAAATATCCCAAGATATTATAACCCTTTGCCATCCTTGGCTATCATTCGCTAGCCTGTGTCTTTCCACAGCATAACATACAAACCACTCCGTTGGTTATCGGCCGGCGTGGCGAAAAAGAAAAGCAATAATGAACGTCATCAAGCTTCAAAGGTTTGTGTGTCTCTCTCCCTCTCTCTACCTTTTCTGGCATTTCCTGGACTTTTTATGCAGGACGTCTATCTTTTTACTACCCCACTTACTGAGCAATGAGTCTCACTGATATGGTCATCTCCGTAGGAAGTTCCCACAGTTCGACCAGGGCGAAATCTTCTCTCTCCAAGATGCCTTTAGAAAGTTAGATGTTGATGATAAAGGCTACTTGGATGAAGCGACCGTGATCAAAGCTACTCAACAAGCAGAACGCCAGCCATATGACATCGTACGGCAGGCGCTAAAGGAGGTTGAATTGGATAGCTCTCGCCGGGTAGAACTTGAAGACTACGTGGATGTTAGTATTTCCATTTCGAGCCAATGTTTTTTTTATTTCCACGATAGAGAAACTAAGATAGGAACAGCTTATCTCCAAGCTGCGTTCTACTTCGGGGCAAAGCGGGCTCGCCGGCACTGCAGGCCCCGCCGCGGTAGTACCTGGTAATGGCGCTGGCTCCTCTCGCCATGTCTCGAAAGGCAGCATAGGAGGAAGAATCCACGTCCAAGGTTCATCGGCAAATGTAACTCATACTATCAATGAGGATGAAAGGACCGAATTCACAAGACACATCAATGCCGTTCTTGCTGGGGACCCAGACGTTGGTCACTTCCTGCCGTTCGCCACCGACACGTTCGAGATGTTCGATAAATGTAAAGACGGGTTGGTTCTAGCAAAATTGATCAATGACAGTGTCCCAGATACGATCGATGAGCGTGTCTTGAACAAGCCAGGAAAGAAAATCAAGGAATTGAACGCATTCCACATGTCCGAGAATAACAACATAGTGATCAACTCGGCTAAGGGTATTGGCTGCTCAGTTGTGAATATTGGAAGTGGTGATATAATAGAAGTGCGCGAACATCTCATCCTTGGCCTGATCTGGCAGATTATTCGCCGAGGTCTTTTGGGGAAAATCGACATCAAACTTCACCCTGAGCTTTATAGACTTCTTGAAGAAGATGAAACCTTGGAGCAATTTTTACGTTTGCCTCCTGAACAGATATTGTTGCGTTGGTTCAATTATCATCTAAGGAATGCAAAATGGAACAGACAGTATGTTGCCATCCTGTGTTTTCTCCGGATAATGTCAGGGGATGCATAGACATTTACTGATCAATACTGCAGGGTGACAAACTTTTCAACTGATGTGAAAGATGGTGAAAATTATACAGTTCTTCTCAACCAACTGGCACCCGATGCTTGTTCACGAGGTCCCTTGCAAACACAAGATTTGCTTCAGCGTGCTGAGCAGGTTCTAGCTAACGCGGATAAACTGGGTTGTCGAAAGTTTTTGACCCCAACCTCACTCGTTGCTGGGAACCCCAAACTTAACCTTGCCTTTGTGGCCAATTTATTTAACACAATTCCAGGTCTTGATCCTATCACTGAAGAAGAGAAGCTCGAAGTCGAAGACTTCGATGCTGAGGGAGAGCGTGAAGCTAGAGTCTTTACGCTTTGGTTAAATTCGCTGGATGTCCAACCAGCTGTTAACTCTCTTTTTGATGATCTTCGGGATGGCACTATTCTCCTCCAGGCATATGATAAAGTAATTCCCGGAAGTGTTAATTGGAGGCATGTCAACAGACCACCAACCTCTGGTGGTGAAATGATGCGTTTCAAAGCGGTTGAAAATACGAACTATGCCACAGAGCTTGGAAAGAATATCGGCTTTTCTCTTGTTGGTGTTCAGGGGGCTGATATCACTGATGGACAGCGTACTCTTACACTGGGGCTAGTTTGGCAACTAATGCGGAAAGATATCACAAACACACTGTCGAGCTTGGCGCAGCGGATGGGTAAGCGTGAGATTACGGACTCGGAGATGATCCGGTGGGCAAATGACATGTCCCGCAGAGGCGGCAGGACTTCGTCGATACGCAGTTTCAAGGATCAGTCAATCGGCTCGGGAATCTTCCTCCTTGACGTACTTAACGGCATGAGGAGTAGCTACGTGGACTATGAGATTGTAACTCCAGGCCGCAGTGACGAAGAAGCATACTTAAATGCCAAGTTGAGCATCAGTATAGCAAGAAAGCTAGGTGCAACCATCTGGTTGGTTCCTGAAGATATTTGCCAGGTCCGCTCTCGTTTAGTGACTACATTCATTGGTGAGTTTGCTTTTACGAAACTGATCTTGAGTCAATGTAAAAAGCTAACCTCCATGAACAAGGCTCCCTTATGGCTACATATGAGAAGATGCAATAAGCTCATCATGAGAGTTTTATTGTGCTATGATGGGGAGTGTCAGACCCCATTCTGTTCTCAGCTGTCTTCCCATTTTCTTTCTTTTGATTGGTTATTGCCTTGCTATGTGTGCAGCTTTATTAACCTGGTATAAGTTTTCGGACATGTTTATAGACCTTGGCCACCGTAAGAACCAAATTTCGAAGGAATGACCCTTGTGTCAATGCCTTAAACTTGGCAGTAGTTTCATTCCTTTTACCTTTATCTCATTTCCTTTCATATATGGTATCTTCAGCCAATGGTGAAGTACAAGTAATCTACACCACCAATTAATGAAGGTTAATACATGATGGGCCATACCCAAAGTAGCATTTTTGGTTTGCGTTCATCCGAAACGTTCAGCTAGATCATTATATTGCAAAGCAATTCAGTAATTAAGTTGCGCATAGGCCACCAATAGGTGATCGGGGAGCACATCACCAGGAACTGCGTCCTACTTTCAAGTTTCCTTACGATCCATGTATGTACTACAGATATACATGTGCTCTGCTCTACATTACAATCGGTTGCCGGAACTCGTAACGACCGGTCGTACAGGACGGTAAAAGGGAATGCTAATCGTCTTCATATTAAACAGCGATTTAGACGTATGACGGACCGCTGCGGATCGTGACGGACAAAAGGACGACATACACTGGCGTGGGCGGAACGGGGGAATAAACGATCGCTCGGTGGGCGTTCGGTGAAAATTCGAGCCGCTGATAAAGATTTCAACGTGGATTGATCAAGTCAAGGTCCCAATAAGATCGATCCATCACCACAGCACTAGGTCCAAGTCCTCGTCTTTATTCGTCTCCCATCTCCTCCGGTTTCCCGATAACGAAAAAGAAAAAACTGCGGTAAAACGAATTAAGGGCATTAAAGAGGAAGACGGGGGAAGGGAGAGGGGAGAGGGGGGGAGGGGGGGGCAATATAGCAAAAAGCAGGGAGACGACAGAATCTGATCAAATACCGGTGCAATCTCATGGCATGGAACCACTATGCTTATAATGGCCGAACCATCAATGTAAAACAAGAGCTGGTAATAGCTCTCTCCACCTCTCGAATTCTTCTTCCTTTTCCTTTGTCTTTCTTGTCTTTCTTTTCTCTTTGGCCTCGGCGGCTAAGACCATGACCACCGACAGGGTGCTAGTACCGGTTTTTGGGATGAAGGCAACCTACTCAGCAGTATCAAGTTCATCATGGGCAGAAGTTAAAGGGTCTAGAAGAGCTAGATTGATAAGTAACAATGAGGGAGACTAGGTAAAAGTGATGGCTATTCAGAATTTCATACCTTTTCTCTCTTCTCCATTTGGGCCATTCTCACGCTCATCGTCACGGCGCTCACGTTCATCGTCACGGCGTTCCCTATCATCTTTGACATCACGCTCTCTCTCATCAGGGCTACGAGAACGGTCACGGGAACGTTCGCGGTCACGGTCACGGCGATCATAGTCACGGTCACGTCGGTCATAATCCCGGTCGCGCCGGTCATAATCACGATCATGTCGGTCGTAATCGCGTTCGTACCTGTCGTCCCTACGAGGAGAATAATCGCCACGGGCACGGCGAGGCGACGGTGAACGACCACGGCGTGGCGGTGTACGATCTCGCCGGCGGTCCCGGCCAGAATCAAACCTCCAAGAAGCAGATGGTGGAGTGCGAGCCCACTTTGCACGAGTTAGATGTTGGCTTCTGACTAGATGACGCGGGACTCACTTCAATTTTCAATAAATCATCACGTCCAATTCGTTTGTTATGCATTTCATGGTATGCATCGTCGGCATCACGACGACTCTCATACTCCACGAAGGCAAACCTTGATATCGTTAGAAAGAATGTCAAGAAATCGAGCGGGTATGTCACGACACACAGTCTGCTGGAAGGAGTACGCGGTGCTGGGATGTCACATCGGACAAGGCGCCCATAACTAAAGCTAAGTTAGAACAAAGACTCGCGGGGTTTAAACAGACAACCAAGATAATATTGCTTAATGACCAAAGACAAAAGTGTATAAACGGGTGATGATAGCTAGCAAAAGTGCCGGGGCCATAATGAGTCTTCGAAGGGAGTGTATTTCAAGGAGACGACGAGTGATGCAACAAGCAAATATCAGGACAGTAAGGGAGGTCCTGCTCCAACGTCGGCATTGCGAGGATCAACCGAGGTGTAGATTGCGAGATGGAAACGAGTCGTCTGGTCATGGTAGCGTGTAGCAATCGACGAGCGGCACATACCGTTCGAATTCGTAGGCAAGGTCGCGAGCTCGAGTTCCGTGCCCGAAACCGGTGACATAGAGCGTGGTGCCAGGACGAGACATTGTCTGAGAAGTCGGATGTCTCTTTGTATACACCAGCAATATTATGTTTAAGTTAGAAGATAATGTATTGACACAAGGGCAAACTGGTCTAGCTAACAAGGTTGGGTGGAAATAAGAACAAGAAATGGTAAAGGAACAAGAGCAAGTTTCGAACAAGACTACAGGAAAGTGCACATGCCACAAGCGAACTAACCCAGCCACAGTTAGTTATGAAAAAAGCCCCTTTAGTTATTAGTCATTCAAAATATGTACATAATAATAACCATAACCATAACCATGTCCAGAGTACCTACACAGTACTTCTTGCCAACTGTGATAGTAGGTATATGTACTCCGTAGCTGCATGCCACTACCTCGCCCCCCACATACATAGTACTATACCTATCTACATACAATAACAGTACTGTATTCCAGAGCTCCCCATGTAGAATTTTGTTGGGAAGTACAGTATCCCGTACAATTCTCTGTACATGCTACTTACTACTCCGTAGGTAGTGCATGGTCTTTGCCGTGGTTTGTACCATTAATGCCTATTTTACATCAGTGATGCCCCCCAGTGTTATTAAGTTTCATGCGATGATACATTGGGTGATGAGTATCTGGGATATCGAAACTCCATGGGATTCAATATTTCCCCCAATATATATAGCCCGCATACCTCTTTTATACTATGTGTTGTGCATGGCGGGTTCTGCTTTTCTTGTAAAATTACCAAAGCATGGGGCTCGGCCCACCCATCCCTGACGCCAAACTACTAATGTTCGACAAGCCGCCGCAATGATGCCTCGTTTGGGTCAGCGCGTCTTCGATTTATTTCCCTCTTGATGTTGAAAAGAACCACTCATTAACCTTGACGAGCGTCTTATAAATTTCCTTATCTATGGTACCCAACTTCTTTTCCAGATGATAATCTAGTTATTACCCAACGATCAATTGTATTATTTACTGCTTCCGCTTCGTGCTGTTTGCAAGCTTCATTCCGATAGTCGGGGCTTCTGGCCATGTCACTCTGATTTTCCAGTTGACCTATGTTTATTTATGGCCTGTGCGACGTCAGCCAGACGAATTTCAAAGGGTTTTCCTGCTGTGACTATATCTCAATATAGGTTCAAGTGTCTGCTGATTTCAGTGAGCTCCGACGCCGGCATACGTAACGGCTAGTAAAGAGGAGTCTCGAAAAGCAAGTGAGCCATCGATATACCTGAATATCAAACTCCAAACCACCTCATTAGGAGCGATTCGGGATACCACTGCTGCTTCTGTAAATCGCCCACTTCAACATGAGTCTGGATCGTCAGGAATCGGTTCGTCACGATGAATCGAAAACTTCAAGGGACAATACTTTGGCCAAGTTAACTCAATTGCCGCCGAATTCCGCTTCGATCAAGGTAGGATGGGGATATTCCAGTTATTAAGAGAAGAATCGAGTTCCCTGGCTCAACGAGTTTTTAGGAAGCATCTTCGGGAAACAGCAGCAAACTCGTTGGTGATATTAAGGGCAGAATTGCGGAACCTGTCGTGGCAGCTTTTATTGCTGGGGGCGTGGCAGGTGCGGTATCCAGAACCATCGTGTCGCCACTTGAACGACTAAAAATCCTGCTTCAAATACAGAGTGTTGGCAGGGAAGAGTACAAGTTATCTATATGGAAGGCTCTTGTAAAGATCGGCAAAGAGGAAGGGTGGAGAGGGTTTATGCGGGGCAATGGTACCAATTGCATTCGCATAATCCCTTACTCTGCGGTTCAATTTGGAAGTTACAATTTTTACAAAAGGGTAAGTCATCTAGCACCCTTTGTATTCTATAATCTGTTCCCATCTTCGTCATCACTTTAAGAGGTTGTATGCTTATCTTGCAGTTTAGTTTGCAGAGCCAGCTCCGGATGCTGAATTGTCACCAGTACGCCGGCTCATTTGCGGAGGCGCCGCTGGAATTACCTCAGTCACTATAACTTACCCTCTTGACATTGTTCGGACACGTCTTTCTATTCAATCAGCGTCGTTCGCAGCCCTCGGTCAGCGCGATGGCAGCGGGAAGCTACCGGGCATGTTCAGCACTATGGTCTTAATATACAAGACCGAGGGTGGTATCTTGGCACTCTATCGCGGAATCATTCCAACCGTGGCCGGTGTCGCCCCATATGTAAGTTCTGTGATCCTCTTGGCACTTTACGATATACTGAGAATTCCAAGGTTGGTTTAAATTTCATGACATACGAATCGGTTCGAAAGTATCTGACTCCCGACGGTGACAAGACTCCTAGTTCACTGCGTAAACTACTAGCGGGTGCTATTTCAGGAGCAGTGGCTCAAACATGTACTTATCCATTGTAAGATTGCTTGCAAACTTCCGACATTCTTGTCACTCCCTCCCTCTACCCCTATTGGCACTAACCGGTCGTTAGTGATGTTCTACGGCGGCGTTTCCAGATCAATACAATGTCTGGAATGGGCTATCAGTATGCATCCGTCTGGGACGCCGTGAAAGTCATTGTTGCAGAAGAGGGAACGCGTGGTCTGTTTAAAGGAATCGTCCCCAATCTTTTGAAAGTGGCACCGAGCATGGCGAGTAGTTGGCTCAGCTTTGAGCTAACGAGAGATTTTCTTGTCCAGCTGAATGACAAATGACATCGTCCCGACTCGGAAGGGATATATCGCCGATCCTAAGTTTCACCTCTCTACGATGATGTCGTAGCTTGGAGGATTGCCACATGAACATTGCTTTATACCAGATGTTCTCGATGTGGAAACCAGTTGGTGTACCTGGCTATTTTAAGTAAACTATGCAGGGTACTAGGTTGCTTAGTTTTAAGCAATCCGAAACATGCTATATGACTATGAGTGTATCTAGCGTTACATTACACGAGTGAGAAATATTAGGAAGAAATTAAGCAACCCACCAAAAGATAGAGTATACCAGCGAAATGAGAAAGTGTGCTTCTATTGAAGGCAGGGTTAGTTCTATCTACTATTAATGGAGCGGAGTTCTCTTTCTTCAATTATTATAGGTCTTCTGTTTTGACCAATTACAAACCTTAATCCTGCTGCTATTTTTACTGGTGCCTGCTACTACTAGTAGTAAAACTAGTACTAGTAAAATGTATTCATCCAATGACATACACCTCGGCATGTAAGTGAACAGTGGAGCAATGCACTGTAGATTGGAAGTTCTAAATGCCTTAGTTTTCAGGTGCCGCAATTTGCCCCCAATACTTCCCGATTTGCTCTAGGTTAGGGCTCAACCCGCACACACCGTCCATCTGAAAATCGTAGATCAAAAACCTCAAGAGTTTCATTTTTGCATACGGGTGCGAGAGCTAGCCAACTCCCAGGTGTCCCATCAGTCTTAGCAGCCATGGGTACGTTTACAATCATATATCACCACACACCATCTCGGCAGAATTATGTTATCGGACACGCTTCGAAAGCATTGTTCAGGTTATTCTACAATGTATGAAGCTAACATTCGAGCGCAGGTATCGACTTGGATCGCCACCATGTGCGTAGCAGCCATCGCAAGGCGCCGAAAAGCGAGAATGTCTATCTGCAAGTTTTGGTGAAGCTTTATCGCTTCCTCGCCCGTATGAAAGAGACCATTCCGATGGCATAAACCGACGGAAAACTGATTAGTGGTCTTTAATAGGTCGCACGGACTCCAACTTCAACAAGGTCGTGCTGCGTCGTCTTTTCATGTCGAGGATTAACCGCCCACCTGTTTCTCTGTCGCGTATCGCTTCCAACGTGACTGACGCGCACAAGGGCAAGACCATCGTCGTTATTGGCTCTGTCACTGACGACAACCGCCTGCTTAACGTCCCAAAGCTGTCTGTGGCTGCCCTGCGCTTTACTGCTACTGCCAGAGCCAGGATCGAGAAGGCCGGTGGAGAGACCTTGACCCTGGATCAACTTGCTCTCCGGGCTCCTACTGGAGCAAACACTCTGCTTCTCCGTGGACCCAAGAACGCTCGTGAGGCCGTCAAGCACTTCGGCTTTGGTCCCCACAGCCACAAGGCAAGTCTTTTCATATAAGCCTACTTTCTAGGAGGCCGCAATCAGGAGAGTTTAGACTAATACTCAATAGAAACCCTATGTGCGAAGCAAGGGACGCAAGTTTGAGAGGGCCCGTGGAAGGAGAAGGTCGCGTGGCTTCAAGGTTTAAAGGAGCTTATTACGAAAAATATCTTGTATCAGGGTCGGAACTGTCGTAACCATGGAAATACTACATGCGCAGAGCTTTGTGATCATGTGCAACCTTTTAGAAATACGGCTAGCTTCCAAAGCTCTTTAGCTGATACAGCAGCGACTCTTACGGATATGAATGAAATTTCAGGTAGAGGAGTTGGAGCTGAATGAAAATTGAAGTTTATACCAACGATAATTTCAGACTCTGGGCGAGTTGAATTAGTTATGCTAGTTAACTAAAGTGGTAGGCTTTGATGTTTCCATCTTTTACCTCCTTCAGAATAATCACATGCCCGATGACCATCACCCCGGATCAGATACTTGTAGATGGTTAAGCCATCTAACCCTACAGGTCCTCTGGTATGAATTTTATTTGTGCTGATGCCAACCTCCGTGCCAAATCCATACCTCATCCCATCTGCGAATCTTGTTGATGCATTCCAGAATACACCAGCGCTGTCAACACCTTTCATGAAAATGTCCGCAATGTCCTTTGATCTTGTCAAAATGATATCAGTATGCTTAGAGGAGTGTGAGTTGATGTGAGCGACCGCGGCTTCAACCGACGAACTTCCGGATGGCGCTGAGGCTATCGTTTTCACTGCGAGGATGAGATCCAAAAACTCGGTGCGATAATCCGATTCGATAGCATCCTGGAGCAGATGACTCGGTGCAGCCGGCAAGGTCTTCATTAATGCGGCCCTAGCTGGTGCGTCACAACGAAGAGACACTCCCTTAGAGAACAAGGCATCTGCAATAGTAGGAAACATAGTCTCAAGAGCATCTTGGTGTACAAGTAATGTCTCTAGGGAATTGCATGCAGCTGGATAGTCAGTCTTTGAGTCCACAATGACCTTAACCGCGACCTCCGGATCTGCATCAAAATGAAGGTATGCGGAACAAAGACCATCAGCGTGTCCGAGAACAGGGATCTTTGTGTTGTCCTTTACGAATCGAACGAGGTCATTCGACCCGCGAGGTATGACAAGATCGATGAATGAGTCTTGGGCTAGTAAGGAAGAAATCACATCCCTCGTTTTCACAAGCTGCACTGACGATTTGGGAACCTGAGTACTCGATATGGCGTCCGAAATAACCTGCGAGATAGCAACAAAAGACTCCGTAGATTCCTTGCCGCCTTTCTGACTTTAGTGGGGAACAACAAGCGACGAGCTTTCTATGAACACGTACCTTTGAGAATTGCAGCATTTCCCGACTTAATAGATAAAGCGGCTATATTCGCAATAACTTCGGGGCGCGCCTCAAAGATTATCAACAGGACACCTATAGGACAGCTCACTCTTTCAAGCACTAGATCGTCATCAAGAAGTGTCCTCAGAGTCACATGTCCAACTTCAATATAGTCAGTAATAGTTACGTAATCATTCGATATACCTACTCGGGTCTTGTAAATCCCGGACATCAAGTATGCCCTTCAGCATATCATCGTATTTTCCCGGTCGTGACAAGTCAAGTCTCTTAAGAACACTTTGGCTTAGATTACCACTAGCAGCGGCCTGACTCGCCATCTCAACATCCTTCGCATTTGCTTCCAATATAGAATCCTTATGCATTAACAACGCATCATGTAGTGCTGTCAAAGCCCCATTGCGGTCGGCATCAGATAAAGTTGCCAAGCCTCGAGATGCTAGAGAAGCAGTCCTAGCGATATCAATAGCAGAAGACTCGGTAAGGGACATTTGTGCGGACTTCGATAGAGAGGTGTGTGTGTGCGTCTGCGCCCGTGGCAGGGTCCAAAAGTGATAAAAAAAAAGTATCAATGTGTGATAGGATCAAATAGATAATGATTTGAAGGATTGCAGTAATTAAAATTTTTTTTCTCAACAGTTTTGGAGGACTTGCGGGCGCTAGACTGACTCACCCAGTTGTGGTGGGGGAATTACCCCGTAAATATTCAAGAAGAGGGGTGTTGTATGTAATACATTAGGCAGGCGGTGTGCAGCATCTATTGATATGTGAAGCCAGTACTCCGTGCATAGCGTAATATTGTAGGCGCGATACGTACTTCCTTTCGCACAAAGCACCGAATCACCTATTCTCATCAGGCTATCATATTTCGACTCTTCTAAGTGTTAGATTTATATCACATTCAGGCTGGCCTTCGAAATCCTGTTTGTTCGTGAGAAATGGCCGAGTTTCTTTCGCAACTCACCTCAGTGTCATCAGGTAGCTCCGATGAAGACTATGACAGGCGGATCCGTGACCTCATCACATACCTTCAACAGCCGAGTAGAGCTTCTGAGCTTTCAGTGGCCAGTGAATATTTGCTAGATGTAAGCCGAGGCCTTTTAAACAATTTTTAGGGAGGGGAGACATGAGAATCAATGCAGTCCTGCTCCCTTCAAGTGCGGGGATTTCGCTAGCTTACAATCGCCATTGCGCGTTTATAGAACCTCGATCCTTATCTACACACCCTGTCTTATTTATCAGTCTTGCTTCTTAAGATCCAGTCCCTCCAGGGCAGTAACAGGAGCCGGCTACCCGAGCAAATTTATCCCGGGCGAGAACTATGGCTCAAGGCTATTCGGTTTTTGAGAAGCTTTGATCCTTTTCAAATACGGTATGCTGGTCACGAATGGCGCCGACTAGTACAGCTTGTGGTCCATGCTGCGCAGGCTGTCTCCAAGGTAATAATAAACATTACTTGTTTTGGTCATTACGCTGACCTGCATCGCGGAAAAGCCACTCCTGGCAGTTCTAGCTGTCAGGGATGCCATACTTCGACTTGACCCCTTGTCTGAGGTCCTCACGTCAGTTCACACTACGTTTATTAAACTCACTTTGATGTCTAGGTCGTATAACCTTGCAGTGCCAGTTTTGGAGAGACAGGTTTGTCATTTTCCTACTGTTACTGGACAGGCTTATCAGAATTATCATCAGCCTTTGCTTTGCGGGGAACACGATTCTAGTACAGCGTTTATAACCAATGCTTCTGGATTTTCCAAGCAGTTGACATACAGAGACCATCTGCAATTTTTTCTCTATGGTGCAATGATATACATGGCGCTAAAAAGGTGGGATAGGGCACTTCACTATTTGAGCATAGTGATATCCTGCCCTGTCACAAACGCCGTCAGCAAGATTATGGTAGAAGGGTACAAAAAGTGGCTCTTGGTCAACCTGTTGCGAAACGGAAAGGTAATCTCCCAGGCGAAGATACCACCTCTAAAAGTGTGCAGCCTCCAGCTAACTGGTGTCGTTCTTTGACAGTTGACCGCACATCCTGATGTTGTCTCCTCACATGTTATCAGAGCATATCAGTCCTTGGTGAAGCCATATACCTCACTGGCCGATGCATTCGTGAAGGGTGATTATCAAAGGTTAAACGCCGAAGCTGAAGCTGCACAGTCCATTTGGCGCGTAGTAAGTTGTAAACCGGAATTCTTGACTCCTGTGGTGTTGCCTTGTTGATGTGCTTATTGATATCTAGGACAATAACACCGGCCTTGTCCACCAAGTAATCAAGGCATTCAATAAATGCATGACCCTGAAATTAGGGAGGACGTTTTCTGCCCTTACGATGGCAGATGTAACACAGCAGGCATCCGATTGCTCATCCCCGCTCCGTGAAGTTGAGTCATTTGTGGCATCACTGGTAATGTCAGGGGCTTTCAATGCTGTCTTGCTACAATCACATAACCCTGACAACACTACAATGCTTCGATTTTCCAATCCAATAAAGTCCCTCTATTCGCGGGAACTATGTGCACGGGGGAAGATAGTGAAAGAGGGCCGCCAATTGGCTTGTATTGCGCAAAATATTTATCAATCCAACCATGGGCTGGAGCTGAGTGATGAGCATTTTCTGTTTTCGCAGAAGAGCCTCAGGTGGTCTGACAATTCTGGAAAGAGCCCACTTGACGAGGCGGCCGGTGGGGTTGACATTGAAGAAGATATTATGGGTGATATCCATTGAAATACTAAAGCAACGAATGATGTGCTTCACACTTTTTACTTGGCCTATTTTAAGGGTACCTACGGAATTGCCCCTCCAGTATCACCCTCGTGCAAGGCGAGCTGGTTCGGCTACGAAGCAGAAACTATAAAAAAGGCTTTAAAGCCTGATTGGACGGTGGCTATACTGGATATATCATTGTAACGGCGGGTTATATAAGTCAGTCCCAGGGCTTCGGGGTCGTTGACCCCGAATTATTCTGACTTTTTGGCCTTGTGGAATAGGGTGCCCTGGCTCTATCTCTTACAATCATACCGGGAGGCCAGGAGATCGAGGATCACTGCAGCAAGACATACAGAGCGCAATATATCAATGAGCTGAGAATATATTATAAAATTATTTTGCAAAGCTTTATCCTAGTTATACTATCTTTGGCTTTCTTTATTTTAATATTGAATAATATATTAAATAAAGTATATTGTAACAGCAGGCAGCTCAAGGCACCAGTATAGTCACATGGTCAGGTGGTCCGGTAAGCGAGCAACAGTGCCCCGGTATAGATATCTATATACATGTACATAGAGGAAGAAGTATATAGAAATTAAAACTTAATTAATTGACACTCCTTCTATTCTAGTATATAATTCTATAGAAAAAATAATAATTTTAAAGAACTTAATCTGAATATTGTTACATGTTAAGGGCCTAAATTGGTATTATCTTTAAGCCTGCTTGTTACGCCCGGGGCTTCGTCATCAAGTCTGTGACCAGTTAGCGGACCACGTTTCAAGGGTTACTAACCTGAAGTCGCTCCTCGACTTCTATCGTTATTGGGATGTGGTCTTAGTAGGGTAGAAGTTATTCTAAGACTACTGTTAATATTAGACTACTATCGTTATAGAAATACAGTTAATATAAGATTACTATTAATATTAAATTTAAATTTAAAAAACTAGATCTATTAAATATATATATTGAATATTAAAAAAAGTATAAATAAGTTAAAATTAATTATATTATTAAAGGTAATTTTATAATAATAATTTAAATTAATTATAAAGAATTAAATTAAATATATAAAATAAGTATTTTTATATATTCTTTTTAATAATATTACTACTATAATTCTCTATATTAATAATATAGGATATTTTATTAATATTATAAGTTCATTGTATTATTAATATATTTAGTTATATTATTATTATAATATATATAATTTATTATAGTAACT